GGAGGCTGCACGGATCGATCGCCTTGGGCCGGTAGTTGGATAATAATAAACATAACACTCAGCTGAAAAGTAAAAGTAAAAAGTGTTTATAAAGACTCTTTCCCACTTCCCCAGTTCAACTTTCCTTTCCTCTCATTCCCATCCAACTTCAGACAACTACATTCGTTTAATAATCAGCGTTCTTCGCTAAGTCACTCGCTTCAAAAACACAACTGCATTTTTAACAGCACCAACGCTTAATAAATCAATCAACCGTCACAATGGGTTTCATTCAGACTGCCGCCATCGCCAGCGTTCTCCTCGGAGCCGCCACGGCCACTCCCCACTACGCTCCTCCTTCCAACGAGACCGTCCACTACACCACCGAGGTTGTCACCCACCTGACCACCTACTGCCCTGGTGCCACCACCCTGACCTACGGCGACAAGACCTACACTGTCACCAAGGCCACCACCCTCACCATTGAGGACTGCTCTTGCACCATCACCAAGCCCGTTGCTACTGGCACTGGCTATGCTGCTCCCCCCAAGCCCACCCACGCTGGTGGTGACTGCGCTGAGATGTGCTCTAACAAGTACGACGACTGCCGTGTCGCCCCTGACGCCAACATGGCCACCTGCGCTGCTGAGTACGCTGCCTGCCTCAACTACAACCCCTGGGAGAGCGGCAAGTTCGTTAAGCCCACTGCCTGCCACGCTGGTGGTGCCAAGACCACTGGCGTTCCTTGCACCACTGAGACTCTCACCAAGGTGACCACCTTCTGCCCCGAGAAGACCACCCTCACCTACGGCAACCAGACCATCCCCGTGACCAAGCCCGGTACCGTCACCGTCACTGGCATCCACCACGTCACCACCGTGCCCATCAAGCCCACTGGCTACGCTCCTCCCGCCACTCCTTCCACTCCTGCTGAGTCCAAGGACTGCGCCGAGATGTGCTCTGACAAGTACAACAAGTGCCGTGTCGCCCCTGATGCCAACATGTCCTTCTGCGCTGCCACCTACTCTGAGTGCCTCGGCTACTCTCCCTTCAACGCTGAGGGTTCTCTCGTCACCCCCACTGTCTGCCACGGTGCTCCCGCTGGTCCTACCGGTGCCGCTCCTCCCGTTGTCCCCACCAAGCCCGTCGGCCACGGCCCCGGTGGTGCCCCTCCTGCTGCTACTCCTACTGCCGTCACTGCTGGTGCCGCCCAGGTCATCCCTGCCGGTATCCTCGCCGTTCTCGGTGCTGTTGCCCTTCTGTAAATGTCTCCTTCGGTTAGAATATAGACTTTTAGTCGGGAGGGTTGATGGTTTGCGATGGAGGGGTTGTCTATGACTTCCCATTCATAGGTAGAGCTTTCAATTCATCTGGCATACACTTTTTGTACCTAGATTATACCTTTACAATGCTACATAGACGATGGAAATACGATCTGGTGCTATAATTCTCACATCCATATTGAACTTAAGTGCAATGTTTTAAAACTCTTCCTAATTTTTCAAATAAACAGCAAGTAAACAGATACTAGAGTGAATGGGTAAGAGCTATTCGAATCAATGGCTGGCTAATTTGCCAATCCCTAGTGGATGTCCTCTGCCATTTCTCGAATGATGAAACTTCACTCTCGTGTAGACTCAACCGGTTGCTAGGATAATCCGAGTAATTGGTCTCGAGGCTCGTATTCATGGGGCACGTGGAGATGGCCCTTGCACGCAAATGGCTCCATCGTATCATTGAATGAGGGTCTGCCTGATGGAGCATCCTTGTCCCGAGCTGTCAATGCAGGGGTTCAACATAGGCTAGTCCCGTATCATTACACCATGTTGAATTGGAAACCTCGCTATAAACGCCTTTTACAATCTGGGATATGGTAATGTCTTGCTTCTGTTGCACCAAAAGCACTTTTTGTTTGGGGTTGATATTGAGCGCTGTGATCATCATAGTCTTGTTTGTAAGTGACCTGTGACCACCTGCAAATTTAAGTGCTTTTATTCCTCGTTATCAAGGTGGGCATTTGTAAGGATAGATTTGAAGCCGCGCGTGATATTGTGTTATTCAATCCCACGGTTCCACCTGAGGTCGGATAGGGAAGCTCGATATTCAAAAGGACTCCTTCATTTTCATCGGCAATGCGATTGCCAATCTGGCTCGAGCAAATATCATGCAGGCTGGGTGGGAAACCAGTCAAGTCGGCCGACGATAGCTTGAACGCAGGCCGATTTGTCAACGAGGGCAAGGGTGTTGCTTTGTTGGAACACAACGATTGTGCATGTATTGAATCCATAGACAGTCCAACAAGTTTAACACACAACAACCACCCGTTGTTCAAAGGTAAAGTCGATGGCACTATAGGGCCAGCAATGACCTGTACCTAGTTGCCCCTCCCTTTTCATTTCGGCTTGACGAGTGTGAGCTCTTGTCTTTCTCTTAACTGACGAATGCATTATAGACATCGTTGTGGTTCTCATTGATATATTTTGACGATAACAGTCACGGGTCAATCACCACCCTTGCCACTCCCTCTTATGCAGGAATCGCGCTGGCGAGCTCAGATTCTCAGGCCAGGATAGTTAATCGTAGTTGCCATACAGAGTAAGAGGCTCTCGAAATTAAAAAAAAATCTGTAAAATCATCCGGTCTACCTACTGGTGCGAGTTCAATCGCCGTCCTGTGTGAGATGACCGATGTTTCCACAGTCGCTGCAGAAGCAGTCACGGTAAGAATCTCATCCATTAACTCGGCCATACTGCAGCGAAGGAATGACGTTCTACTACTGGGAGAGGCTCTTCAAAATGTAGTCAGTATCTCTGAAGAGAAATGTCATGCAGATATTCCTCAACGTAGTTGCAGTAGCTCAACTTATCAACTTGTAATTTATATTCGCTCTTTTCCGCTACCCAGGGGCAAAGCTGCTGGGGTTTCGCGGTATTTGTTTAGTGTCTTTGTTATTACTCGTGTAGTAAAATCCACTCTCTTGATAGGTTGAGAAAGAAATGGGTGATCTCTATAGATAACAGCTTTGCGATCTCTGGAAGAATTCCCTGAGAAAACTCAATCTAAGCTTAGTTATACCACATTGCATAGAATTATTGGCAGTCCTGCAGGAATCTACCGTTTGTGGCTGATTGAAACAGGGCTAAAAGAGGTGAAGTCGAGGCTCCAGACTCGCATCTACCTCCGCGCCAGCTACTAGTTTGCGCTGCATGGTCATTTTGACCACTCCTGTTAATGAACGCCATAGATATTGTTGATTAGATGGAGACTATTGTGGTTTTGCAGTAGCACCTGGACCAGAGGTCTCTTAGGCTGTGCCGATCAGCTTAGAGGTGGGACGCCACAGAGAAGTCTAGAACTTTTACCGAGTATAAGAAGATACCAGCAATGGCTGGAGGACCTAAAATCCTAAAACACATTGATTTATATACTCTTGTTGTTCAATCTTGAAGAACTTTAGGGAATATTCATTCAGAAGCTTCTTGATCATTTCTGCGAGACCATACCTGTTATAATGGCTGGTATGTTACAAACGAAGGTACCCCTTCATTAACACATAGCAACGCTAAGATAAGCCCAGGAGAATTGAAGAACATATATTATATTAACTTTGTTCCTGACAATTCCAGAAGAGGTGGGGATTCTCAAGCCAAACTTGAGGCCTTCAAGCAAAATGTCGAGCTTAATTGTCAGTTTATGAACGCCCAGGCAAACTGCTCGGTCAAGGACCTGATTGCATCAGGTCAATTGAAGAATGAAATGGTCGCAAAGGCAGCCTACAAAGCGAGGGTTGTAAACCACCTAGTATCAAACAGTCCTTGGTACGTTCCATTGATTATCTGAACAAGTAATTCAACTCACTGTATGCAGGATGGCAATAACTCATGTTATGAACGAGAGCAAACATTTTGACACCGACAAGAGCCGGTTCCACCAAGAGCTGGTGTCTACTTTTACTGAAGGATTGAACCTGCCATCTTCCATCACATCAGATGTCGAGGGCGTACTCGCTGAGATCAAGCAGGCAATCACTACCGCGAACCAATCCGGTAACGAAGCGAACAAGCTGCAGTTCATCATAGTGTTGAATGTCTTGAAGTTTGATGAAATGATAGGGTCGTGGCAATCAGGTATGTACCCAAGTGGCACACGCTTCTTAGTCTGGCCGAGGATAGTAGGCTAATGGTTTTTACAGATGTTTGCGCGATTTATTTCCGTCTAGACAATTCGCTGAGTGCGTATATCAGAAACAAGGACGAGACTACAAAGGTGACTGTCTCTATTCTGTATAGCCATTTCAACGCTCAATTCGGCGATCGAATGTTTGAAACGAAAGTCAAGGACAGCATTCAGAAGTTTATTTCAGATTCTGGGAGAGTAGAAGGGTTGTCGGTTGATGTGTCTTTTGATAATGGAGAGTACTTTAGAGATAAAGGGTGGTAACATCGCTGTGAATAATCGGAAGAGAGGATGGATACCTACTGAGCTACTTTTAAGACGAAAGATTTATACCTGGAATAAATCAAAATTGAAGTATCTGCCCCAAATAACTAAGACTTGAATCAAAAACACATATCTCTAGTAGCTGAGTTTACTGCAAGTTGAAGCGAGAGAGTAAGACGATAAAAAGAGAAATCAGAGAGGACTGGGATATAGACTGTATTTATAGACATCTGAAATAGCAAAAATAGAAACTGTATGGCAGTGGGATTGCTCCCGCCAGGGCTTGAACCTGAGACCTTCGCATTACCGGATACCCGGATGGAGTATTAGTACGACGCTCTAACCAACTGAGCTACGGAAGCCACCAGTTTTGATTGGTGGGAATGAGCGTGTCTCAATATATGTTGGTAATTGGAATAAGTCGCATCTCGGAAAGAAGACTGTCTTTCTCATTCTTGGCAGTGACAAGCAAAATATCACGCACAACATTTTTTGGGAGAATGCTACAGTGCTTGTGGCTCAAACCCATTGTGATCTTGGGATATCACGTGCAGGCCAAATCGTAGCCAATTACAACTCTCGGCTCCTTGGTCTAGTTGGTTATGGCATCTCGTTAACACCGAGAAGCTGTCTGGTTTGATCCCGGGCGGAACCACTCTTTTTACAAGCAGGGTACTCTTGAAGTGTAATACAATTTTACTCTGGCATCTCACATGATCTTAAAAGCATTTCATTTGTAAAATGCTACTACATAGATACAATTGTGTGAAAGTACTTGGTTATTGTTCAGACTATCTTAAAGACTTGTACCTCCTCCTTACGGCGCCTTTTCGTGCGAAATTTACGTTTGGACTCTCCCGCGTTCTTCAACAAGGGCGACTTCAGTACTGAGGTGTGGTGCAGATCCTTTGTGATATCCCTCAAGCGCCGGATTTCTCGTTCAAATTTTTCTGCGCACTTTCCCTTTTGATTACATCCCTTGTACCACAGTTTCATACGCTTGGAAAAAGAAGCGGCCCAGATACAACAATCATGATCTCCGCGTCTCAACACTTCAATCCCTTTCTCAAGGTATTCATAAGACGAAACACACGTGTCTTTTGGAAACTTGTAAGCTTTGTTGGCGAGCCATTGTGTTGTAAAGACAAATGCATAGGTCGGAGGTTGGAGGCGTAGTTGCTTCTGACGATGAATCCAGCATGCACTGTGGTAGCGCAGATTCTTCATTTGTTCCACTAATTTAAAGTTTGGCCACTGGTGATTATCGGTTGACATAATAACAAAGTCCAGCCACAGCGCTATAGCTTCTTCTGAAGATGGATTGAGGTTTTTAGCATGTTGCAATAACAAAGTATACTCTGCGTGAAGAGATGGGTAGGGGTTGATATAAGCCTGCTTCCAAACTGACTGATGATAGGCTGTTATGTTCAGAGCAACAGCATGATAGGGGTTTATGTGGTGGGAAAAGGTTTGTAGAATATTCGAGTGACACCAGGAGAGAAACTCCACAGATCTGTCCGGCATTGACTGAAGGCCATTCGATAATTCGAGAGACTGTATGGTCTCCTCTCGATACGACTTGAGCTTTTTTCTGATAAATTCGATGAACCTTAGCAGTGGGTGATTTATCAACAGCGTTGTCGCTGAGCTGGAGGTGATGTCCAAGAACGTCTCCAGGAGTTCTTGCCGATTGACCTCCAGGCGCTGACGACCTCTTCGTCTCATACGATAGAATTCCATAAGGATTCTGATAAAATAGATAAGAGCATGGGGATCATGGCGTTCAAATGGGGGACTCTCGCTAAGCAGCAGGACCTTGGTGCTGGAGAGGATATTACCGATGATGAACTTGAGGTTTTTGTTCCAACCAGCCCGTGATAGTATAGAGGCTTCTTGACTGTGGTGAAACAGTAGCTCCCACGACGTCGTAGGCGTAACAGACGTAGAGAGGCATTGCAGTCTGAATGTGTTGATACACCACATGCGTTCTCCAGGAGCGAAGGCTTTGCCGAGGAACTCTCGGATGCTGTTTACAAAGTCTTCTGTGGGAGCTTCTGGTATGAGTGCATTGCGCAGTGTTCCACCTGTAGGGTGAATTGTAGATGCAATTTGGGGAGGATGTGCTTCTTTTGATGGCTTTCTTCGACGGTCTTGTCTCTGCTCTTCGTCCACGATAGTCCGGCCATTCTTTTCTGTCCTGTTCTTCATAAAGGCAGGCCCCCACTTAGCAAAATGGTTCTTATATATTGCAGGTCTGTTATAGTTAGAATAGATGTGATTAATCTCGCGGAACTTATCAAGGGAACTTACTTTGATGAAAATGCAAAGCGTTTCCTCATGATCTCAATCGTCTCCTCCAAAGTGTGATTTTCGATTATGTATATCTTTCGAATATCTTCCTTTCTCAATTCCCATTCTTCAGGTTCAATCATTCTGTTCAGGGGCTGTCGAAACGAGGTAGGTACGGGTACCGCCATCTGCGGTGCAAGGCTGCTGCCATGTGCATACAGTGACATGTGTGCGAGCTCTCCGTGCACAGATGGGTCTGACTCCCAATGTGGTAGATGTTGTACATCACTCTGTGTGTAATCGACCTGGCCGAATACAGATGCAGAGAATCTTGTGTCTGGGATAAATTGTTGCTCATACGGGAGAGGGGCAGCCTGATAGATTGGATTAATCTGGTCAGTTCCATAGTAATCAGCAATACAATTGAATTCATCTAAATCCATGATCTCAGCTTGGTTAATGTGGTAGTTCTGCGCAGAACTTTCAGCTGTATCGAACTGTTGCGGAGGGTAGGTGAAAGCCGTGGGGGGCATAAAAAAGGGCATATTGCCTGGTTCATATTCAGAACTATATTCGTAGTCCATACTTTGTTGACTTCAGATTTTCTTATTTGGACGAGATGAATGATGTAGTACAATCTGATGTCTTTGCTGGCAAGACTTTACTAAATTTATACTTCTCTCGCGGTGTTATTTGCATCCCCATTTCTGCTACACTCTCGAGGCATATGAATAAATCTATCAGCTGAATGTCTTAGCTGGACTATAAGAGGCTCGATGCTAAGGTATCTCGCATAACCGATGAAGAGTCATTGGCCGATCCTAAAATCTCGTGCATAATGGTGTGTCCTACCCCTCACTATACCTCGCTAACATTGGTGCTTGGTAAAACTAGGCGTTCCAATACAATAACCCGCGGCCACATTTCTCACCGGGTTTGATATGTTATCTGTGCCCAATACTTATTGCTCGCCTCATTCCGATGTCTTATCATTTAAGCTTCCCTCTTTTCCTTATTCCCCATCACATCTTGGATTGAAATTGCACATGCACATGCACACAGCTGCCTTCCACTCTTTTGCCCTTTATCCTTTGCCCTACCTAAACATAAACGCCAGCTCCACGCAACATCAATCATGAGAGTTTCAAACTCTTCTATTGGAAACAACAGCTCCGTGGCCATCCCCTGGATGTCACATGGGGAACAAATTCGTACCATGTACGACACAGTACAAAGAGAAAGAGGAGGTAAGGATCAAGCTATCATTGCGGTTGTTACGCAGAATTGCTTGAGAGAGATGAGTGAGAAGATGGGAAAAAGGTCTTGGAAGTTTTGGAAAGGTGATTTAAGTTCCCTCTATTCATTGAACTATGGCTAACACATCCCCTTCTATACTCAGTACGTTCCCGTGTCCTTGTTACGACAAGAAAACATCTGCAAGAGACAGTGCGCGAAGTATCAAAGGACTATAAAGTGAAACTTCTAACCATCATGGCTTGTGAAGGAGTTTTGAAGATCTACTTCCAAGTGCGAGCACCCAACATTGAAACTCTCAAGGTTCTTCGCTGTGGCCAACAGGCCGGTGTACATGGTGACTTGATCATCAATGGTGCATCAGAGTTCGATGATACGTATCTAGATGAATGGGAAAGTCGCCCTCACCCCGATGCGAAAGTATACCTCGGCCAAGGCGTTCGTATCCGCGTTGATCTCGAACATTCTCGCTTCTGGTCGGAGTCCAAGAGCAACATCTCCCGGTCTGAGCAGCAAGATGTAAGAGACGCTTTGAACAAAATGCAGAAGACAAACAAAGAGGGCAACTGGTGGGACCAGTGGAAGGGGTCAGTCGCTAGTATTCTCGGCATACTAGTCATGGGTCACAAGTCCATGGCCGGAGCAAGCGCCTCGGCCAGCGGATTCTGTTTCAGCATCAAGTATGGTTCACTGGCTTTCAACTTCGCTAAAGGAAGTGCTGCAGCCTCTGCCGTTGCAACCGCGGCTGGGACGGCCATTGCGCTTGGTGCTGTGACGGGTCTTGCCGTCTACATTATTCCCTGGGACAAGTTCTTGCCTTGGTTGGGCAACACAATGTCCTCTTGGGGAACGTGGTTCAAGTCTATGTGGGATAAGTTTTGGGGTTGGTGGAATGGCTCCTCTGAGAGGACTGGCTGTAATCCGGGCCATTTGCGTGCTGATTTCATGTAAGTTGGGTCCAGGTATCTTGTGGTGTATGGAGTTGTGCAGATATAATTCTGTAATCAGGATATCGATATAGCAGCAGATTGAATATCTAAGTAGAAACCAGACCTTTACAGTATAGTTTAATATTTACTTATGCCCTAGAACTTAATCTAAAGTAGTAAGATGGCCTAACCTTTACAAAGGCGGCCACGGTAGAAATGACTATTTCATCCAAGTCACGATCGGCTCACTACTGACTACATTTGTTAGCTCTCATATCTGGCCCTCTGTATTATGAGAAAACTACTGTGAATATACGGCAAGATTCGCAAACTGGTGCAGTTCCAAGGCTGTGCGCACACTCTTGCGTTTACCTGGGATAACAAATGCACACGCACCTCCACACTTCAAAGGTTTCTGTTGTTGTGTTGGCGCCACTTATTCCTCCATCGCGTTGGCTTTTTCTTTTCTGCCAACTCACCCTTCTTCATCTTTCCGTATCTCCTACTCCTTGCACTGCCTTTCCAACTTGAGGCCATGGAATCCACGATGAGATCCTTACAGCGCGATATGGATGCTGCTGATGGTCTCACTACTGAGCACAGTGAGGACTAGAATTCCTTGCTTCTCATTCAAGCTCTGACTTAGGTCCAAGGGGCAACAGATCAACAAGAGATTCAAGCAGCCAACGGCGAAAGCTGCAGCGACAATGGCAACAATCACGAGACCGACGACGAGGCTTCTGTAATTTGTGTCGGAAGCAACCCCGTTTCCCCAAGAGACCAGGACTTCAAGTGTCGTGACATTGCAACTGTTCTGGCATCTTGTGCAGCCGCCGAACAGCACAACTCCAAGGAGGGCAGCGGAAGACTTTCAGAGATTCCGTCGCAGACCGGTCACTCAATCCAATCGCCTTCTTCCAACACTTCTTACCATGGCACAAAAGCATCTTCAGGCTCGCTACGCATGCGACAAAGAACTGCGTCTTATGCTGGCAACGACGAGGTAAGCAATACAGACACAGCTGTCGAGCGAAGTCTTCAAGATCCAGTGGTAGGTCCCTCTCCGCTTATGATACCACAGCTACTCACTTAATTCCAGCGTAAATACATCTCTTGGCTCACAGTAAGGTCTGCTGAAGTCGAGGAATGGATCGACAATGTCCACACCCTGGAAGATCACTTG